GTGTAATGTTCTGCTTACAAGTCCCTTGAGGTGCAGTTGGATAAATCAGCTTCTGGTTTATCTTTTATTTCACAAACTAAAAAATGAACAAATAATCCCACAGCATTCAGGGTCATAAGGTGTACTGCTAAAACTTCCACAATAGGATATACAACATTTTTTAATTAAAAAACACTGGAAAACACTACCTGAAATTAAATTTGTAGTTGTGGTACCAGATTTAATAGTCTGAGCATTTAATTCACTCAAAGGAGTTACTGAAAAGGAGTACAGATGTAGTGATGAGAACTTCAGCTCTATTACCTCTGGGATTCCCAGTCTATTCCTTAAGCCACTGCCATGTGGTTTCTTACAGCCTTTGTCCTCTAGTTTTTTCAATAACTTCAATCTATTTCTGCACAAAAGTGTAGCTTCTATAGGATGGAGAGAAAGGGATGCTGCATGCTGTTTACACAAATCCAGTGGTTTGGGGTGAAACTGGGTATTTTTGGAAGAACATACCCTAAGGTATTTGCCACTATTATGGCCATATTACATATTCTATGAGCCTATAGCTCTAAGGACTCATCTTTTCCTCTCAACATACAATTGTGGAAGGCTAAGCTGTCTACTCAGCTCCTTTTCTTCATAGCCTTCAAAAAATTTCTTTTGATTTTTCCAAGAACTCTATTATGCAATTCAACTTTGTAGAAAAAAATAATTATCCTTAAATTATCCTTATATATAATATAAGATAAACAATAATTTTGGTTTTTACTGATCTTTTAAATTCATTAAGATTTGTACTTTATATTGCAAATTGTACATTTTTTTCATTGACTATGCAAGGTAATGTCTGACATTAAATGACAGACAATAAATAGGTAGACTGTGATCTAGGAAATTCTGGGATTTTTTTTTCCAAATCTATCCCATGTATCTTATGATTTTGGATAAGATGATAAATAGACCATGGTAAAAATAGACCATGTTGGCATGGAAAGGAAGAAAGTAATAATTTTCTTGATCATAATAGTAGTGATATTAAAATATTCCAAAGTGAGAGAATTCTTCCCGTTATAGTAAAACACCAAAGAATAACTGAAGCTGCAAAAGAGCATGCAGGTTCATCAGCTGCTAGACACCTGAGCAATACAACTACAGAAAGATAGTTCTGACAGCTGGCTTACTTGTAATATGCTGGAAATGTTCAGAGCTCTGCCTGATTTGCATTATAAACAAATCTAAAGGGATGCAAAAGATATGTGAAAATGAAATTCTGCATAGGAAGACTCATATCTGTCATCATTTGATTATACTGTGGTACTTTGAGTTCATATGTCTTAGTTGTGCTTGTAATGTCTGGTGTTTTATTTCATCAGTGTTAATACTTGAGGATCCAGGCAGTGAAAACTGTTTACTAAAGCACAATCTATTTTCTTGGCTTTACCTTTTTCTCCTTGGACAGTTCTGCACTAAATTATCCATTTTGCAATTGCTTCCGAACTGAACAGCTAGTGCTTTGTGCATGCAATGACAGATTGCCAGCATTCATGTAGCATCATCTAGGTATGTTATCCTAAAGGATGAATAGATGGAAGAAGTGAAGCTCAGCACATCTTCTGTGCTATGATGTTCCCTTGTCATGCGAAATCCTGACAACCTAATTGAAGATCCTTAGATTCATTAAATGATCATTCTTTATTTACATCAGTTTTCCACTTTCTGAGCCGGTGTTTTGGTTTTCTGTATGAGGCTGTGCTGCTGAGATACACAGCTTTGCTCTGTCACTCTTTCAGGGGTAGTTGTGCATGTCTGCTAAGAGTACCAATTCCTGATCTTTTTGCAACGTCTCTCCTTGCTCCACAAGTGCAGTCTGGCAGTCTAGTCTTCCTCTCTTGGGCCTTAAGAAGGTGTTTATGTGATGCCTAAAACATTAAAAAAAAATCAAGCTTTAAAATATTCTATCATCCTTTCATTTCTTAGTGTCCTACCCCTTACTTATGCTCATTCTTATTTAACTCCCATGAAATCATACCTTATTTCATTACAGATATAAGCCAGCACCAAAAACCAGAAGGCCTGTGAAGAGTCCTTAGAAAGCTAATCATGATGGCCATGAGAATTTTGTTACTGATTTAATTACTTCCAGAACAGGCTTCTCATTATGTGTTTCATATTTGAAGCTTGAACCCAAATATATCAATTAAATAACAACACCTTTAAATATGTGCTTGTGTGTGCCAGTCTTGGTCCTTTCTGCTTTGAAAGGAAAGGTTTGCCTTTCATGCTCTGGATACTGAATTATCTGTTATGGTTTCTTTGAGCTATTTCTATTCACCAACATACATGATAATGTAAAATGTCATGCACATTAATATGATGACAGTATGAAGAAAATAGCTTCTTTTACAGGAAACTGGTTCCTTAGATGCTGATTAGAGGAAAATGGTACAAAAGGGTACTGCAATACTATTAGGCTAAAGAATCTAATCTAAAGAATCATAATTATCAGTCTAAAGGAACTAGATATTGATGCAACTGCCTGCCCAGCATCAAAGGCACCACCAAGTTTACCAAGCACAGAAGAGCTAATCAGAGAATGTGTAAAATAGATGATGTGAACCTCTGGTTCATCCATCCATCTGTCTCCAACGGGCCTGCTAAAAAAATTTAAAGTCTTGCAATAAAAAATAATCTATTCAAGTGTTTAATTATTTTTTATAATTAAAATATTTATTTATATCTAATCTAACAGTCCAGATATTGCATTATAAATTTATTAGTTCTGCTGCCACACATTATGAACTTGGAGAACTAATGATTGTCTTGCATTTCACAGCAATCTTTCATCATTTTGAAGACTGTCTCAGACTCTGAAGACTAAATGACAAACCCAGGTCCTTCCAGCATTTCTCATAGGTGATCGTTTTTTGGTTCCTCTCTATTTTTGTTGTGTCTTTCTAAATATTCCAGTTGTCCTCGTTGTTTTTTGTATCTGGCATCTAAAATCATACCCTACATGAATGTAGAAGGGATATTGTTTGCTGTGTTTACAGCCTCTACTGCTCTTTACAAAGCATGTATTTTCCTTGTTCAGCATATTGTTGCCTCATGCTTAACTACAATCCACTATAATGTCCAAATTTTCTTTTAACATAATCCAGCATGTATATGGATAATTATTGCACCAGACTCTCTGCTCATCATTATCAAATTCAGATCACTGCACTCTAACACCATTCTCTGAAGTTACATCAGTCTTTACAACCATCTCCAGACTTAATAGGCATATTCTCTATTCCATAATTTCATCATGTATATCCTACATACATTTCCATATAAATGCATGAATATTTATAAAAATATGTATGCAAATATAGATTAATAAATATTCCTTGAGGCATGTCACAGATGAGTACCTGGGACATTGAAACTTCCTGTAAACTAGCCTGTATAATTTATGTAATAATGAGCTGTTCTTCACACAGACAAAGGAGCCCAAAAGAACTATGGAAGCAGTGGGAAGCCAAATAGCACCACAATTTAACTCGTTTGTGTCTATTAGAGGAGTCATCAAACTTTGAAACTCTCACCTCACCGCTATGAAGGTGTACTGAGGCTCCTGGACCTACCACACTGGGTACAGCTAACACCAGGAGTCAGAGGAGGGGCTGGCTGGGCTGGCTGGCAGACTTGCCCATGGGTACAGGTTTTGCTGTGGAGTGCAGGGCAGAGCATTTCAGTACTGCACAAGACTTCTTGTGGTGTTTAGGGGATCAAAGTCAGTGAAATGGGGATGGTTTGGGGAGGATCAAGTATGGAAAAATATAGACAGAAGAATACAATTTTTAACCCAGTGAAGAGAGCACCTGTCCAAGCTGTGGGAGACAGTGTCAAGGATTTTACTGAAGTCCATGTAAATATCCACAATTTTTCCATCATCCACTAGGAAGGTTACCTGGTCATAAAATGATATCAGGCTGGTCAAACAGGACCCGTTGCTCTTAAACCCATGCTGGCTCAACCTGACCCCCTGGTTGGCCGTGTCATCGCATTCAAGATAATCTGTTGCATAATGTTCCCCAGCACCAGGGCAGGCTCACAGGCGTGTAGCTCCCTGGATTCTCCTACTGTCCCTGAATAATTCTGAATTTACTGCAATAACACCCAAACAAACTGCATTAGTTTAACTAAGGAGTTCAGAGACCTGTACAACACCTTTTTGGAACAAAGAAAGATCCTGACACGTAAAGTATTCCAAGTCTACAAAGCTGGAGCATTTAAGAAGAAAGATAGTAATAGATAATTTTCATAGTGATTGAAGCTATCATCTAACTCACAAGGCAGATGTATGTGTTGAAAGAGCTGTAGACCTACATTAATCTTGCCTGAAGTTCTGATAATTTCATGGTTTTAGCTGAAAATATTTAAAGATCTTTTGTGTGGTTTTTTAAATTTTTTTTAGTACTAGCCTATGTGAAGTAAAATTCAATAAATATGAACAAAGGCTGGCTCATATTGATTTGTCATTGAAAATGTGTAATTTTGAAAGTTCTTTTCATTTATAATGTGTGCAGCTTTACTGCCTATTCACAGAGTATATTTATAATATTAACTATATACTAGAATATTAATCACATATTTCTTATCTAATTACATTGTTTCAAAGAAATGTGGCAATCAGTACTAATGAAGATTTACTCTACTAGAAAAATTAATTAAACACTGTCTTCAGATAATGTAACATCATTTATAAAATTTGACTGAATATCTAATTCAGAAAGATATACAGGAAATATTTATATAAAACAAACTATTTTTATCCTGAAAAAGAAAATATAAATAAGTAATAGTCACTCAGTTAAATAATAGAAATAAGCTGCATTAAAAACTTTTCACCTACAGAAGTACTGATTCCTTGTTACTAGTAATTATAGGACAATCCAAAGTATATATGTTTTGGGTGTTTTTTTCTTTTTTTCATATGCAATCACTATTAATAATTTCCATGCAGAGTGTAAAAGACCAAAATAGTTTATTGAAGGTTTTAATAATTTCTTGTCCAGAGAAGCACAGGTACAGACATAAGCCAAGCATGTTACTGCTTCCAGGAAAAAAAAATGAACATTCAGTTCCTCTACAACCAATAATTTCAAACTGAATTAATATACAATGCCTTAATGTTGGGAATTTTTAAAACCCACCAAACAATAGAACAGACACCAGAAGAATTTCTGGTGGCATTGTAACATTTAGATGTCACATGTATTTATTGACATGACACTGATGTCAGAGGACATGGCAAAGCTCTTACAGATCATGGTATAACCACTGCAACTCTTTCTGGTTGAACTTCGTGTCATTGTTTTCATGCCTGAGCGTTCAGATCACTCCTGCTCCCTGTGGAGTGGTTTGCGCTCCGGAGGAAGCATCGGCTGTAACTTCTGCCAGCGTTGTGGAGGCCAGAGAATATGAGTGGCTCGGGCATGTAGAAGTCCAAGAGAAACCTACAACCAAAATATAAACCAGAGGTGTTACTAGGTAATGCAAATAAATCAGTATGTGAAAAATACAAAGCATGTAATGATTTGTTAGAGCAGTGGGAGAATGCAAAGCAGAAGAGTAAATACTCTCTCATGCATGTAATGAGGGGGAAAGAAAATGTCTTTAGTAACGTCTTTTTCTTTTTTTGATAAACCATTTTTTGGAACTCAAAACAGTTTGCTGAAATGCACTGTCTGTAACACAGAACTAGGAATGTTTTTTTTTCATTTTCAAGGAAAAAAAAGCTGCTCAAAATAGGTGACACATAATCCACCTAAAGCTTTTTGTTATTATTTATTCTAGGTCCAGAAAACAAAGTTTAAGTATTTATCTATAAGTTCAACAGAATCTGTGTCTCGATTTGAGCCATGTGTACTAACCACACCAGAATAGTGGCTTTTTTAAACCTGCTATGTTTACTATTTATCACTCTCCTTCAAAACTCCATTTTGTCTTCAACCAAAAATGAAAATTACTGTGAATTGTAAAGATTTCCCTGAGGATGAAAATGTATTTCTCTACAGATCAAAAACTTTTGAAGTGCTAGGACTACTTAAACCTGATTAATATGATTTGCAAACATGTTTTACCATCTTATATTTATTATTATTTACTTCAGTAATTTTACTTCAATAAATCAAAATAAAATTAAATTCTGATATTGCTTATAAATGAATCAGAGATAACATAGTATAGAAAACAGAATTGCTTAGAAAATCTTAAGTAAATTATAAAAAAGACCCTTTTCATATAGGGTATGAAAATGGCTAGACTAAGAGTAAGAATAGAACAGTTACAATTTCAGACTGAGATAAGACAGTCCATACTTAACACTGAAATTACATCATTTTGTATGGAGTTAATCTCAGTTAATTTAAAAAGCCTGCAGCATAAATTATTTGTTTAGACTTGTAGAGAAAATAGCACATAATAAGCATCTAGCACCTACAGAAGTTATAAACAGGACACAATCATGGTTAGAAATACTGGAATGTCTGTGTCTGTGAAGAGATTGAATAATTCAGACTCCTAAACAGACAACAGTGTTATAATGGTTATAATGGCAGCAGAATTAGCAATGGCGTGGATTAAAAAATGCACAAGCTTTATTTGACTCTTATGTCATTATTTCTCATAAGAACAAGGAAACATCTATGTTATTATCCTAAATAATTTTTTAATATAGAAAGGAAATGCTTTTCACTATGTGCAGCATTACATCATTCTTGCATACATTATACAGGATACAGAAGTCATCAGAAGAAAAATAGAAAACTTGTGAAAAAAATAACAATGGGAGTGAAGTCCAACACAGGTAATTGACCATAAACAAACAGCGTAGTCTCTATACTCCATACTAGGAACCACCGAAGGAAAAATGTATACTTGCTTTATTCTTATATTTCAATGACCTGGTATCAGCTGTTGTAAGAGCCAGGAATGAAATGGATTTTGAACTTGTACTTTGTAGCTTGAATTCCTATGTAAACTCAGTTCCATTCCATTTCTCATTTAAAAAAAAAAAAAAAAAAAGTGATTTTAGTAAGCAGGTAATTCAGCATTTCATGCAAACAGACACCAAATAGGCCCCTAGGAATATCTTCAGCTAATTTTCTTGATTTAATTTCATAGGATTAATATATATGCACCAGTCTCTCTACTACATAATCAAATCAGTGAAGCTGAAGTGGTATATATCTAATTCCATATTCTGTAGCTTGATGAAGCAGGTGCTGAATTACTTGAATGTAATTTGGTTATTTAATAACCCATGATATCTAAAAGAATCTGAAGTGGATCACTGAATTAAAGTCTAGCATTATATTTCACTTGCTTGATCCCTTGCAGGGACCACTTTTTTCCCAGATCCGTAGCAGCTGTTTTTCCTACATTTAAGCAAAGGACATGGTTCTAAGTGACAACTCTTTTTCAATAGCATTGAGCAACAATTTTTAATGTCTTGACACACTTTTGTGCAGTTTGGTTGATATTTATGGAATTCACAAAATCCTTTATCTTAATTAGCCCATAAAGTGGGCTGCAAATGTATTATTACCATGTTGGGTTTTTTCCCTGAGCATACAGCATGGTAGAACATACATTACAGGCTGGTGCCAAAATATAAAACCACAGCAAATCCCACAGCTGCATATAAAATGTGACAGCATTAGTACAGAGAAAAAAAAAATGTTAGAATACTCTTTCCAAACACAAATAACATCTAATTTTCAAAGCTCTGTGTTTTTCTCAGTACATTGCTTGTTACTGATGTCAGCAGGAGGTCTGCAAACAGACTGAGAATACAATAAATGAATCAAAACATGTTTTAAGCTGAAGCTGGGAATAATTTTACCCAGAGGATTATTTCTACTGACCATCATCTGCCTTGAAACTAAAAAAGAAGTCTTCTTCCTATAAACATGATTTACAACATGACTAGAGTTAAAAAGGAAAAACAGATATTGTTGGGTGATGGAAGCCTTTGCTAAATAACAAATTACACTGATGCTATAGGACTTCTTTCATAATAACTTAAAGGTTCACTTTAAAAGCACCTTGATGTTTGACTTCTGCAAACATCCATAATAACTTTTTTCCATTGCCTATTATTATTCTGTACTTACAACAGCAGCCATGAATTTCACTGAGGAAGAACAGAATTGTTCGCAGAGAATAACCTGCCCTTGCTAATGGATTTACCCTTATCAAGGTTAGATATGAATGAACTCAGAAGAGTGAACTAAAAGGCTACACCTTCTGTTGTAACAGTGAAATACTGAAATAATATATTAATTAATCACTTCACTTTATTTTCTCCCTTTACAAAGGAAAATAAATTTATTCCCTTGAAACACTCTTTTAACTATAAGAAAAATCTGTACTTTACAGACATAAATTCTCTGAGGAATGTGTTTCCTTTCCATCACAGAGATACCAGCAATTAAATAGCTGGGGGTTATTCTACATTATGACCTATTTGTTATTCTTGCTGTGGCAACAGCCACTATATTGAATTGAATCCATATTATCGCACCTAAGCTGAGGTGTTTAAACTTTTTTAAAATATTTGAATATTAAGTCGAACAACTAAGAAGTCACTTCATTAACACAGCAATTTTATCTGCAAAGTAAGTTTTGAATTAATAATACTGTTTTGACACTGTTACTGTGCTAAAAGCGTATTTCCTCAGTGGCTGATTGTTGTTAGTATGTTAGTTATATGGAAACTGATTAGTTTTGGCACTGCATAAGGAAAAGATAAGCCTAAGACTGATAGTGCTATCTGCAGTGGTACTTAGAACAATCTTGCTCATTTTGTCCTAATAGGCTTGGATAAACCACCTTTATTAGTATGAAGTCTTACAATAATATCACATCCTCTGGTCCTAAAATACACCATGAAAGTGGGAAAAGTAGTATTCAGATTGTACAAGAGTGTATTCATGCAGCATACAGTGGAGCACATCAAAATTTCTGTGGAAATGACAGGTACTCAGTTTGGATCTCAAGAAAATGGAAAGTCCAAATAACGGTGTGATTCTGTGTGCTAGTTTTGGCAGGGGTAGAGTTAATTCTCTTCAGCTTGGCTGGTACTAGACTGTGTTTTGGAGTTGTGCTGAACACAGGATTGATAAGAGATGTTTTTGTTACTGCTGAGCAGGGTTTACACAGACTCAAGGCCTTTCCTACTTTCTGTACTGCCACTGCTACTGACAAGGAGACTGGAGATGCCTGAGATATTGGAAGGAGACACAGCCAGGACAGATCCCCCTCCTGACCAAAGGTATATTCCAGACTGTATGACATCATGCTCAGTATGTAAAGCTGGGAAAAGTAGGAAGAAGGGAAGGTTTGGAATGATGGTGTTCGAGTTTCCAAGTCACCATTACATCTGATGGGGCCCTGCTCTCTCTGAGATGGAAGAGGAAAGCAGTGAATTAATTCCTTGTTTTGCTTTGCTTGTGTAGTAGAAGCATGGCTTTTGCTTCTACTATTAAATTGTCTTTATCTCAATTCACAACGTTTCTGGCTTTTGCCATTCCAAGTGTGTCCCAGATTCTGCTGGTGGGGGAGTGGACAAGCAATTGTGTGCAGCTGAGTTGCTGGCTGGCATGAAATTATCGCACCCTAAGGGTATTCTCAACTTTTCCAGAGAATGTAAAGTCTACCCAAACAGCTAAATTCACCTGTAGCTCCCAGTCATGAGTTCACTTTGGTTTAGGAACATTCCCCATAGATTTTTCTCTTGCTTCTTTTTTCCTTAAGCTTTTTTTTTATTTTGTTGCACCTTAAACAGCCAAGATTTCAAATTCTGTAACAACTCTGAAACAACAAAGAACACCACTAAATATGCCCTGAGAAACAGCATTGCAGAATAAAAAAATCCAAGCTTTTAAAACTTTAGAAAAAAATTAGATTTAGTAATTTGTCAGTTTTCTATTTGGAAGTAATAACCACAGAATCATAGAACTCAAGATGACTTAGACTTACAAAGACCTCTAAGATGATTGACTCCAACCATTAAGTCACTGTTCACCACTAAACCATATCCCCACATGTGACATGCATATGTATTTTGAATTAACTACCAGACATATAATAAGAGACAAAAAAACCCCAAAAAACCCAAGGATGTTACTACAGCTGTATCATAGCTCTGCAATTTGGTATAGCCACTGCCAGTAACAACCTGTAGACATTGTATTGGCTCTGCAAGGCCTCAAGATTAATTTATCAGGATTTGTCTGAGCTTACCTCTTATGCCTGGAGTTTTGATTCAGCTTGTTAGCTGCAACAAATTTTCTAATCATAGGTGACTATGGACTGATCTGTTACAGTTTTGCTTATACTGCTTATATTTGCATAACCTTGTGGTGTTTCTACGTATACATTAAAAAATAAATATTCTGTATAGGATGAAATATTTGTGATTTACAATTAATAATGAGGTATACAGGACTGT